CGGCCGATAAGATACGGCCCAACTATAAGCTAACCTACACTCTGGCGGGCCATACGAAGGCCGTGTCGTCCATTAAGTTCAGTCCGAACGGCGAATGGTTGGCCTCGTGTTCGGCCGATAAGATCGTCAAACTGTGGGGCGCTTACGACGGCAAGTTCGAGAAGACTATCGCCGGCCATAAGCTCGGCATTAGTGACATCTCCTGGAGCTCTGACTCGCGACTACTGGTCTCCGCTTCCGATGACAAGACGCTGAAGATCTGGGAATGCGCTACTGTATGGACACAACGCCACTACACACACCATATTATCATTGAATTGTATTAATCATTATTATCTCTTTCATTGTTTTATAGGGCAAAGGCCTGAAGACACTGAAGGGTCACTCAAACTATGTGTTTTGCTGTAATTTCAATCCGCAATCAAATCTAATCGTTTCCGGATCTGTAAGTTCTTTACCTTTCACTTCATGTGATTTCTTTTGGTGACGACTCTTGTGTTGTGTCCAACAGTTTGACGAATCCGTTCGCATATGGGATGTGAAGACAGGGAAGTGTCTGAAGACACTGCCCGCCCATTCAGACCCCGTATCGGCCGTGCATTTCAACAGAGACGGCACATTAGTGGCCAGCAGTTCGTACGACGGTTTGTGCCGTATTTGGGACACGGCTTCGGGTCAGTGTCTGAAGACATTGATCGACGACGACAACCCTCCCGTCTCTTTTGTCAAATTCTCGCCGAATGGCAAATATATTTTGGCCGCAACTCTGGACAACACTCTTAAGCTATGGGATTATAGCAAAGGAAAGGTATGGTTCCCTCTCTTCACTGCACTCATTGTCTACAATCTATTGTCTTAATTATGTTTTTTTCAATGATTAGTGTCTGAAGACATACACCGGACATAAGAACGAAAAATATTGCATTTTTGCCAACTTTTCGGTCACCGGCGGAAAGGTATTCAATGATTCTCTGTTTTGTGTATGATTTTACGAAATGAATTGTTTTTTGTGTTGAATCAGTGGATCGTCTCGGGATCTGAAGACAATTTGGTCTACATATGGAATCTGCAGACCAAAGAGATTGTACAGAAGCTGAGCGGACACACAGATGTTGTCCTCTGCACTGCGTGTCACCCGACGGAGAATATCATCGCATCGGCCGCTCTCGAGAACGACAAGACCATTAAGATGTGGAAAAGTGACACTTAATTCAGTCGCAAAGTCGCCATTTTTATCTTCTTCCTCTTCAATACCATTTCATCGCATTCTTACCATAAAAGAGATCACGGATTCAATTCTCTCATTTCCTTTCTATTAATAATATTTTGTAATTTAATTTATATATAATCTGCGAAATAATGTAAACCCTTTTCATCTCTTTTTACAATTTAATAATCAAACCATTTATTTGCAAATTTCCCAAAACTAATGTATTCGCAGACAACGTCTGAGATTTTATCATTGAGTTTGACTTTAATTTGTGAACATTTGATTAAATATCGATCGAAACCGTATTCAAAATCAATTGTGTCTTTAATTCAGTTTCTCATGGAATCAACAAAAAATTTATTTATCAAAAAAATTAAATTGTATTTTCAGTTTCAATTCATAACAATATTTGTGTGGATTTCGTTAAGTAATAAAATACATGTTTAGTATTTACGGTAATTGTAAACTCGAGTGAATGTCATAAACAATGAACAAAATTAATAAATTACTCGTTTTGGCTAATCATTAGCAGAATTGGTGTCGATTTCGTCCAATTTGGCGGCAGTCCTATAGTAGGCGCTGCACTGGACAGACAGCACCGGTATTAGATTGCGGTTAGTTTTCAGGCAATACAACAAATGTCGCAAATTGATTGAGTCGTCGCCCATATGTTTGCGTTTGGGCGCCGGTTGTTGGCCACTGCAGGCCATCCAATACATGGACCGATCGATCGCCTCGTCAACAGTAGGCCTAATAGTTATCGATTCACCTGAAGGTAAGAATACATTAATATGAAAACATTCAAATCGTTGATCGCATCGATTTAGATACCGGTTTCGGGATGAATGGTTGCGGAGGAATGGTCTATGCTTTGCAACAACTGATATGAATTCTTAAGATATGGATTGATAGGCGGACCGCCGATGCAGTGCTTGAAACGGTTGTCTCGCAAACGATACGACGAACGCGAGGAGAATATTTCGGTCAAAATTGTTTTCATGAAATCCTATCAAAAAAGTAAAAGATATAAAAATAAATTGTATTGTGTTTATTGTGAGAGGGAGGGAGAGAGTAAAAGAGAGAGAGAGAGAGAGAGAGAGAGAGCTAACGAATGACAGCAAATTACAAGTTATGATTTAAATGTCATTTAGTTTTTGATGCGATGACTGAAGAATCCCTTTAGTTTTGTCTCAATCGCTGTCCGATACAGTTGTCTATAGATTGCATTAACTATTGACTTTTAATTAGTATTATTTAACTATATATTTATAACACGTTTGTTTCACAACAACAACAACAAAATATAAATTATTTTATTGATTAATTATTGCTAAAATTGTAATTAATGTGTGATTATCTGAATTGAAATGGCGGCCACTGTAGCGATGGACCACACGATGACAACAATGGGTGGTATGGATATGGATATGGATATGGGAATGAAGATGTACTTCCATACCGGGTATGAAAAAATGGTTCTGTTCGAGCATTGGATGGCCACCACTCCATGGGGTATGCATTCAAACTTTCCATTCAAATACTTCCATCAACGCTGTTAAACAAATTCATCACGTGTTTAGCAATATTTAGGAATTTTGTATTAATTATTACAATATATTTTACATTCTTGTTATTTGAATGAAAGCTAAACTGATTTAAGAATTAATTTGTTACCAAGTTTTAAAGCTATGGTGTGGGCGTAATAATTGATTATTTAACATGGTTTGTTTTTAAGACATGAATTGATTTGTTTTTATCATGATTTGCAGGAATGATCGGCGCGTGTGTCTTCTTCTTCGTGTTGGGCGTAATCTATGAGGGGTTGAAATATTACCGCCAATTCCTGGCACTCAAAGCGCAGTCTTTGCTCACAATTCAGGTCCACGAAGAGAGCGGAAACGGCTCGACGAGTACAGCGACACCCGATTCGCCCATTTCTAGCGCCGATAAATACGATCGTCCGCTTCACACAACCGACTGCACCGTAAGGCCAGCCATTCGGCGCCTATCGTTCGCTCACATCTATCAGACAGCTCTCCATATGATACAAATGTTAATATCATATGTCCTAATGTTGGGAGTCATGACATTTAATGTGTGGTTATGTTTGGCTGTTATATTGGGCGCCGGTTGCGGGTATTTTCTAGTCGGTACCCAAAAGCCCAGCACCTCCTCAGCCTTTAGTGATCACTGTCACTGATTTATGTATGAAAGCCATGTGTTTTTGACAATATATTTATATTTTAATTTTTTCATTCAATTTCACATAAAATCTATTTAAGTCCAATCTATGAGCTATTAAAGCAACCATTTGGTCATTCAAAGCATATTTCTATATATTACTACTTGATTATTTGTAAGACATAGTCAGCTCTGACCGTATGGTTTGTTATTATGGAGTATTGACTGTAATAATAATATTGTTAATTATATTTACGAATTAATTATAATTTAATTATAAACCAATTGTTACACAATTAATAAATGACACAAGGTAGAGATTTTTATTTACCTGAGAATATTATCATTTAAATTATATTTAAACATTTGAATTGCTTTATAGTTCAGGTTTTATTGTAATAATTGTTTTAATTTTATTGTTAATTGTTATGTACTGTACAACTGATACAAATCATCAGACTTTTCATATTTATAATAAAACAGTGTTTTAATTATTTGTTATAAGAATATCACGTGATTTTGGGATGTATTTATTTAAATATCACTGCATTTTATGAATACAAATCAAGTGCCGATAATTACTATAGAGTTAGAGGTTATTGTTCACATATTTTATCATATTTCTCGCTATCACTTCAATTAATTCCAGTATATGTTTGCGCACAAAATGAGCATAATTTTAATGCATATGCCGTTTAATTACCATTTAAACTATCAATCGATAAGTTTTTATAAGAAATATATTTGAAAAAATTTTGTGGAAAAAACAATATAAAAAACTTTAAAACTTTAATTTGTGGACAAGTTTTGCATTTTGATTAACACTTCAAACAAAGCAACAAAAGTATAGTTACACGCGGTGTTCAACGTGATCCTAATTGTGGCCTTCAAAGTGTGCATGTGCAAATGTTAATGTACTCATCAATACCCCGGGCAATCATGTAAAATATTATAATTTTAAATAAATTTAAGTTTAATTAATGCAATAAAATTAAAATTGGATTGGATTGGATGAGTAGTGTTGCCAATAGTGTTGCCTATAGTGTTGCCACCTATGGTTGCATTGATAGCAATGCTTTGCAGTATTAATCGATGCATTTGTTGTGCAATTAGTGCGCGATTTTGACATATTGGATTGGATGAGTAGTGTTGCCAATAGTGTTGCCTATAGTGTTGCCACCTATGGTTGCATTGATAGCAATGCTTTGCAGTATTAATCGATGCATTTGTTGTGCAATTAGTGCGCGATTTTGACACTCAATTCAATTGAATGCTGGCTTTCGATGCATTCATTCACACATTCATTGAGTCTTTCGTTTCATTCAAACCATTCATTCATTCATTCATTTGTTGACCGAAACCAACAAAAGACTCAAACGTTTGCCAAAAAGTGTTTATTATATGATTTGATGTGACATTTGGTCGCCGAAGACAAGCCATTGGCCAGTGTTTCAGTCATACCAATGACCACAACAACAATCAACACAAATCCCGAGATATTAATAGACAAACGGTTGGCCACCGAAGACGAGTATCATCTCATCGATCGGGCAGTGAATGGCCGCCGGACTCGGGAGCGGACACCGCGTCAAGACATGACATCCGCCGCCGATCGCCAACACCTCATCGATGACTACAATAAGACAATGAAAAGCAATGGATGTGTTAATGGGGTGACAGTGAACGGCACGAACGGTGACCACACCGTCACCACTAATGGATCAGTTGTGGCCACCGATGAGCCGCAGAATGGCTTCGACCGCGGCTTTCGTCCGTTTAAGATATTGGGCGCCAAAGAAGACAATGGACTCAAGTTTTTGGTGATGTTTCGCGAAGACATGACAAAAGCCGATCTCA